ACTCATAAATTCTTATTTAATTGTAAGATTAAAGAAAACCTAAATAATCATCATGAAACCAGAAAATGTAACAGAAATTATGTTAAGGTTTTCAAATTCTAGATTTTTAGCTACTCAGCAAAGAGAATGATGGCATATGCTAAGTCACTGTAATAAATAGTCCATTGCTGCCTTTTATTATTATTACCTGCTCTTAGCACTTTGATCTCAAACTGCCAGGATTACAGAGCCGTTAAAGATGACACACAATACAGCAGGCTTGCTCTATCCCAACAGCAAAGACCATCAGTCAGGGAAATGTTTGTGTAAGTCACAGGCCCCTGGCAACATAACTAACCACTGAAATCTACTTCAGCAAGGGTGGCCGCAGATATTCCATTCACATGGCCAATTATGATGAGCATTTCTCTGAAAATAAGTTAAATCCAACCATTCACTTTGCCTTTAATTACCAGATTATCTAAGAAGTACCTCTTTTCTAAGGGAGGAAAAGCTAGCTTTTCAAAGTATTTTGAATAGGGAACAAATCCAAAACTCACCATGGTAAATATACTGACAGTTGGTTTCTTTTCCTTCTTCTTTTTACTAAAAAAAAATAAATAAATAAATAAAGGAATTACACAAAACTTTTTAAAAATATACAATTTTTTAAATCATTAAATTAACGTTCAGTGCTTATATTTAGTGACAATTAGAACAAACATGTTTATATTATTCAGTAAAAAATAAGTTAATAATATACAATTTATGAGGTTTAAACATAAATATGTTTCCATGTCTCTTAGATATCTATGTACACAGTTATCACCGGATGTTGGGATTTCTATAACAAAGTGTTTTTCCATGTGCCATGCCTATTTCCTAGTTCTCTATGATGAACACACATACATCTATCACAATTAGAAAAGAATCCATACTAAAACAAGTGTTTTCTCTCTTTAAACACAAAATCACTCATTTACTGTGAAATAAATTTTCTCAATTACTGTCTGAGTAATTCCAAAAGTAGTCTGTGAAATGTGAAAATGCCATTCAGAGGCATTAAAAGGCCAGCTATTATTCTGAATCCAGATTCAAGCGACCCTAACTCAGGAACCAAAGCTCTCCACTGTCTGCCGCTGCCATCTCAGACCTGAGAGCAAACTAACCAGAACAAACCAGCCTCAATTTCACATATAGAAAAGAAAGACTATTTTAGAAAACGGCATTATTTTTGCTGAGACTTTTAAATTCAGAAGAAGGAAAGCTTCCTACAGAAAAAGTCCAGCTCTAGCTTTGTAGCAGTGTTGGACAAGAACACAGGAGCATCTTCAGGTTTGGTCCCACCCTAATCCCAGGGAAGGCCCAGTGTCAGTAGCCCTGGCGATAGCAGAGGGTGAAATAGACATAAATAGTTGAGTTTTTAGCTCTGAGAGGTTCATTTTTTTTGTTTTATCCTCTAAAACTGATGCTACTTTGGCAAATGTATAGTGTCAATAGTATTTATAATATTTCAAACAGTGGCTAAGTAAGAATTTTCCACATATGATTCATAAATAACTCTCAGGCAGGCAAAACTTTGTCCTTTTAGGGATAAGAAAACCACAGAAGAGGGAGAAGAGTTAGCTGCCTTGTCCAAGGTCCCACTGCTGGAAGAAAGCTAAGACTTAAACTGTAAAGTCTGTCCCCTGAAAATCAAACTGCTAAGGTGTAACCGCTAAGGTCTGAGAAACTGTGCTGCACGGAAAAACATCTTCACAGGAACTCTCACCCCTACCATTTAGCTCCATCAGCAGGAAACATTTTCCAGAGGCAAGTCGCTCATGAAACATCATTTTAACGAAGAATGCTTGTATGATACAGACACTCCAGATTGCATAATCGATTAGCAAAGCCAAATGCTTCCTACAATCCCATGTGAAAATGCATAATTTTAAGGACAGATTAAAATCAACGGTGACGAGCATAAGTGAGTAAGAACTATTAATTTGTTTTAAATCTCTTCTTTGAAGTCTTTAGGTGATGATAGTCACAGTGTAGGATCAAAAAGCATTGTTTGTCATTTCCCTCCATACATCTTCAATACTTCTCACTCAAATATATCTATGTCTTAAGAGCATACTTCTGTAAATGACCATGTTTTGAAAAAACAATTAGAAACAAAAAATAGTGGTGCTTGCCTGTAATCTCAGCTCTGGGAGGCTGAGGCAGGAGGATCACAAGTTTGAGGGCTGGGAATGTAGCTCAGTGCAAAAACCATAGGTTCAATCTCCAATAATGAGGGAAAAAAAATAAAGTACCCCCTACTCTGTGGAATCTTTTTCTTTGTTTATGGGGAAAATTTTACTGTGAAAAAATTTACATCAATGAAAACACTGAAAGAATAGCATAATGACGTCTCATATAATCAACCTATATTCATCAGTTACTAACATTTGGATCACACTTTCTTTTATAAGAAAGTATATATTATCATTTATTAACATTTGGCTCAACTATTTAAAATTAAATTGCAAATATTATGGCACCCACATGTTTTACCTAATTTTGGTATCATTTAGTACCAATTCACACTTGCCAAGAATGTTTTCTGTGTCTCTCTCCTCAGCTCTGATTTAATCAAACTTCATACGTTACATTTAGTGCTCACCTCTCTTCAGTTTCTCTTAATCTACCTTTCATCCTTTTCAGAGTACTAACATTTTTAAAGAGACAAGAGCAATTCTTTTATAGAATACCTCACATCTTAGATATATCTGAATATAAGTGGAGCTGTACAGTAAAAATACATACTTTGGAAGACTTAGCCTAAACAAGAGAATGCAAACATTCTTATCAATAATTTTGACTACGTGTATAAATAATTTGGATACATTATTCCATTAATTTCTCACAATTTACTTCATCTGTTCCCTTTTATTTTTAATGTTAGTGCTAGAAATTTAAAAAATACAAATGTGGCCCATATTACATTGGTTGACAGGACCGGTCTACAAGGTTGATTGGATTCAGATTAAATATTTTTGCAAATATACTATCTATGTGGAGTTGAGTAATTTAATACAGTCAGTTCCAGCCTCAGTGATACTAAGTTTGGTCACCACAAGAAAATGCCAACCGGAAAATCTAATTGGAAAAGCGCATTTCCTTTCTTCCCATTAGGAACAAGTGTGGAGATAATTATCAGACACAACTTTGTTCTGAATGATTTAAGATACAGCCACAGTAAATCCTTGCCTCAATCAATAATGGCAACGCAGGCTCCAGTATGACATGTACAGGTTCACTTTTCTGTGAAGAAGTTTCCTTTATTTTCTCTGCCTCTCATACACTTACAGATTCCCTCAGTTGTATTTAGTGTCTCAGAATTATTAATTTCCTTGATGCTCAAACTGTCCCAAACTTGGCTAGGGACACCTCTAAGCCCCTGCCCCTGTGCGCTCTGATTTCTCTATTGAACTCCTTGTCTGGGGTACTACTCGGGCGCACTCTGTATTTTCCCTGCCCCAAACCGAGCTCCAAGTCGCTGCTTTTCTAAGGGCTGCTCGTTCTTTTTAGTAAGAAATGGTATTCAGAAACCCACACCTGGCACTAAGAACGCTTATTTCTACAGTTCTTTCTTTCTTTCTTTCTTTTTTTTTTTTGAATTATTCTTTCTGGTACCAGGAATCGAACTCATGACCTTGCGCTTGCCAGGCAGGCGCTCTGCCGCTGAGCTAAATCCCCAGCCCCTCTACAGTCCTTTCAACGCGCTGAAAATGAATGATTAAAAAAATCGTGACTTCATATTGAGGTTTCCAATTCAAATTTCACAATACTTTTTAAATATTTGATTTACACACATATTTTTCCCTTTACACTGGAAAGTTTGGTTTTACTTATTACCACATTTACTAACTTGTTTTATCTTACAATTTACATTACTTTTCTAAAACTTTTTTAGGGGGGCTGGGGATTTAGCTCAGCGGCAAAAGCGCCTGCCTGGCAAGCGCAAAGTCGTGAGTTCGGTTCCCGGTACCAGAGAAAAACCAAAACCTAAATAAATAAATAAAACTTTTTTTTACTAACAATGAACCTACTGAGTGAAGTTTAGAATTTCCCATATAGGCAGAGTACCACGAACAGAATGTGCTTAAAATAACTATTTCTTCTCTGTGGTTACATGACCATTTTATGTACACATATTTATTCCCTGTTACAACTACACAAAGTGAAAAGCAACCTGAATGTAGTGTTGGCTTTCTGTATTCTTCTGCTGAGCCACCGGCAGGCACCGCTCCGTGCTTGTTAATCATTAGCAAGATGCTGGACCCACAGCAAAGCCCAGGCAGAGTCTGTCTCAAGTGCGCGCAACACAGAACAAAGTAGAACACAACAGAAAGGGTGATGCGACCCATGGGCTGTCTGGAGGTGGAACCGCGCGGCCTCATCCAGACCCGGGGCGCCAAGGATTTTCTGCCCCAAGCGGGGCACCGCGTCCAAGGGCTGCCTTGGGCGGTGAAGTTTGGAATAATCGCCGTCGTCCCGTTATGCAGCGCAGAGCTGCGGGCTAAAAGCACATGCCTGGGTCTCGCACACCAAGAAAGGAAAGCAAGCCGGCTACCTTTTCTCGCCCATTTTCGCCGTCTTCCCCGCTCCTCCACTGGGGTCCTCTCCACCACCCTGCCGACCTGGGAGACGCGGCGGCCGCGGGC